GCTCTCGCTCTCGCTCTCGCTCTCGCTCGCTCGCTCTCGCTCTCGCTCTCGCTCTCGCTCTCGCTCTCGCTCTCGCTCTCGCTCTCGCTCGCTCTCGCTCTCGCTCTCGCTCTCGCTCTCGCTCTCGCTCGCTCTCGCTCTCGCTCTCGCTCTCGCTCTCGCTCTCGCTCTCGCTCTCGCTCTCGCTCTCGCTCTCGCTCCCGCTCGCTTCTCTCTCTCGCTCTCGCTCTCGCTCTCGCTCTCGCTCTCGCTCTCGCTCTCGCTCTCGCTCTCGCTCTCGCTCTCGCTCTCGCTCTCGCTCTCGCTCTCGCTCTCGCTCTCGCTCTCGCTCTCGCTCTCGCTCTCGCTCTCGCTCTCGCTCTCGCTCTCGCTCTCGCTCTCGCTCTCGCTCCTCGCTCTCGCTCTCGCTCTCGCTTCTCGCTCTCGCTCTCGCTCTCGCTCTCCGCTCTCGCTCTCGCTCTCGCTCTCGCTCTCGCTCTCGCTCTCGCTCTCGCTCTCGCTCTCGCTCTCGCTCTCGCTCTCGCTCTCGCTCTCGCTCTCGCTCTCGCTCTCGCTCTCGCTCTCGCTTCTCGCTCTCCTCTCGCTCTCGCTCTCGCTCTCGCTTCTCGCTCTCGCTCTCGCTCTCGCTCTCTGCTCTCGCTCTCGCTCTCGCTCTCGCTCTCGCGCTCTCGCTCTCGCTCTCGCTCTCGCTCTCGCTCTCGCTCTCGCTCTCGCTCTCGCTCTCGCTCTCGCTCTCGCTCTCGCTCTCGCTCTCGCTCTCGCTCTCGCTCTCGCTCTCGCTCTCGCTCTCGCTCTCGCCTCGCTCTCGCTCTCGCTCTCGCTCTCGCTCTCGCTCTCGCTCTCGCTCTCGCTCTCGCTCTCGCTCTCGCTCGCTCTCGCTCTCGCTCGCGCTCGCTCTCGCTCTCGCTCTCGCTCTCGCTCTCGCTCTCGCTCTCGCTCTCGCTCTCGCTCTCGCTCTCGCTCTCGCTCTCGCTCTCGCTCTCGCTCTCGCTCTCGCTCGCTCTCGCTCTCGCTCTCGCTCTCGCTCTCGCTCTCGCTCGCTCTCGCTCTCGCTCTCGCTCTCGCTCTCGCTCTCGCTCTCGCTCTCGCTCTCGCTCTCGCTCGCCCGCTCTCGCTCTTGGTCGCTTGCTCTTTCCTGCCCACCCCGGCCGGCCACTTCACAGGATTGAGCCCTGCTTAACCGCAGTCCTTGGTAAAACAATTAAATAATGCCAGGAGTTTCGCAACAGCGCGATAATTTGCCAGTTGCCAGGAATTGCCCTCCCCCTCAAACAGCAGCTGGTCCATTCCCAGGACGCAGGACGCCCATAGATCAAACGTCAGGTTGAGATGAAGGTCCAGGAATTTATGTATCTAATACTTGGGCCTGAGACACGCGCATTACTTTCAATTCGGCTGTAAGCCCGGGAAGTCCTTTTTGGCGCTGGTTAACAAGACAAATGCAATTTTAACGGCGACAAGGACAACATTCGTAAGCCCATTGATTAATTTGAAATTTATGAAGCGCTCGTAACTTTCGCTCTCGACGTGGCCGGAGGTCCACGGTTCCACGTTGCCAGGGCTGCTGCATGGCCCATATTCATTTTAATTAAACGTCTCGCACCGGAGCAAGAAGCAGACTAAGATGCATACTTGACAATTTTGCGCTAATCCCGGTCACGGAGTCAACCCCGGCCCGATTCCAGCGGCCCATAATCGTAAACATTGAGCGTGCGCAAAACGGGCATAAATATCATTTGAATAACATCCGGGCGGAGCGTGGGCGAGGCCCTGGGCACCGCTGCCGATGCCGATGCCGATGCCGGATGCCGGATGCTAGCGAGGAACACACCAGCCGGGAGTCGCACCGAATTCGGACTCGACCTGAACGCGGCCACATTCGAACATGCAACTTAATTACGCGTGCCAAGCCGAGCGGCTTTTGTTATTATCATTTAGTCAGCCGGTTCTCGGGCCCAGCCCGACCCCGAACCCTGGCTGATGATAATGCTCTGGACGAGGCATTGGCTGCGCTTAATGAATTTATTTGTTACGCATGGCGTACTTTGAATTGGCGTCCACACACAGCATCTGAGCGAGAGCGAGAGCGAAAGCGAGAGACGGTCCTTCATTGTCCTGCATGGCCTTAATGAAATCCATTATTGCGAAAGCCATTTTCATTCCTTTCACACACACACACACACACACACACACTCTCGCACAAAGTAAATACACTTATTACGCAAAAGTGTTGTGCGCCCGAGCTGGGACTCCGCCTCACCCCTGCGCCGCTAGGACTCCGGCCTACCCCTGCCCCAAAAACTGCCACGTGAAAGGCATAAAACGCAGCAGGAGCTGGATATTACGAGGGTTAGCCAGAAACAGTCTGGCAAATTATTGTATGCGACAGCGAACCGATAATGATACCGAGTGTGAGCTGGTCTAAAGCGGCGTCAATTGCCCCGTTTTCGAGATGCAAATAGCAAATAGCACGCCCTTCGACACCAATTGTAGGCCAAGCCAACGGGTGGAGGGGTGAAGGGAGGCTTAGCACTTGAAACGCATTCAATTAACAGGGAAATGTATCCGGCATTATGCGTAGCTTTTATCAGTGTGCAATCAGATGGAAAAAATACTTGATTTTCAATATGCAAAAGATCTGAGAGCGAGGCGAGGGCTGGCATCCGCAGCTGGACTAGGACCTTGCTATTCCTATTAATACTAATAATTCCCTCAAAATGTAACTGACTTCAGAAGGTAGGCAACTAAAAAGTTGAAAGAAGTCGAAGCCGTTCCCGAATTCCTTTTTACCCACAGCAAGCAGACCTTTGACGGATTAGTTACTTTTAGAGTGCCGAAGATTAAATACCCTTGCCACGCATTTAACTGTGTTTCCATACAACAAGTCCATATGACATAGCTAAATAGGATTTTGCTTTAACGTTTGTTGTCTTACAAAACTGTTGCCAAACAGACAGACACAACTTGAATACCCTTAATTATCTATTATTAATGGATGCAACACATAAAAACTCCCAGCTCAGAACTTGTATTTTACAAAAAGCAAAGTTTCGCCTGGCTTTTAGCCTTCCATCCAAACTAGATTGCTATAATTCCAATTGAAATAGTTACTGGCTTTCCATCAACCTTTCAATAAACCGCCCATGCCAAAGTTCTTCTTAAAGCAATCAGCGACTGTAGCTGCTCGCTGAACTAACTATCCCTGAGGAGCATAACGAACCGCAAGTTCTGGGGCGCAACTTTTTCATTACCCATGGCGCATCCTTCCTTCCTATTCACTGGCACACACACACAGAGAGAGAGAGAGAACTCTATCATTAAAACTTAAATGACCTTCCTGTCGACAGGCGAGGATGACTTTTACGACGCTTCTTTTTTGGCTGCTTCAAACTTTGACTCTTGATATCACACCCCGCCATTCACAGAGCAGGCCATCCATCCATCCATCCAACCAACCAGCCAAGCATTCATTCATTCCTTGGTTCAATCTCGCACCCTCTGGACGAGCTCCCGTCGTGTCAGCTGCTCATGACATTCTATTACCGGCTCGCTGAATTGTATCTGTATCTGTATCTGTATCTGTATACATAACTATCTTGAGCTGTATCTAGATACGCAATAAATGCTTTCTATTTAATGAGTTCTCTCCATTTGGCTGCTGTGCGGAAGTTCGCCACCTTCGATTGGAACTCAGGCCTGGAGCGGGAGGTCCTTTTCGCTTGGCTGCAAATTTACATGTTGGCGCTGCTTTCTTGATAGATACTATTTATGGGTTACCGAAGCGCCGTTCATGGCACTTTAATTGCCAGAAGGAGCGAGATCAGTGCCCAAAGGATGGGGGCTGGGCTCAACATATGTCCGACCTAATGGAGGGTTGTCGGCTTCTACGACTCATTTATCATGTGTCAAAATGTTTAACTAAATGGCACTTTGCCGAAAAACTTTCGGATGGGTGGTCCGTTCCGGTCCGGTCCGGACCGGTACGGGGTCAGGAATGGGTTTGGGGTCGGGTTCGCGGTCGGGGGTTGGTCGGCCTCAGTGTTTGCTAAGTAGTTACTTTTAATAGTTGCCGCTGCCTATCCAACATAAATAACTCTTGTCTTGTCTGCCCAAACACGCCCACTCTCGGCCCAAGTGCTAACAATCTTTGAGATACTTTTCGTATGCCCGTTGGCAGCGTGATGAATGAGCCGCCTAGAAGCCTCGGACGTAATTATATGCAGGCCCAAATGGTTTACACATGAAGATGACCGCAAAATGTCTTAATCGAGCGTGTTTCAGCTCAGGCCCAACCCTTGCACCCAGCCCCTACTGATAATCCGGATAAATTCAACGGGCAAAAGGTTCAAATAACAGCGAATTTATATGCTTGAGGTTTGCTAAACGTTAAAAGCGATTTAGTTACCAACTAAGCCGTGGCAAATTGTTGAAACAGGATTCTAAGCAGGTCCTTAGGTTAGTTGTATCTGCTTTTCATTGTGCTTTACTGATTCTCAATCAAATCCAGCCCTTAAAGCCAAACCCTAATTCTCTACGGATTTAATTACAGTATGTCAAGAAATTGTTTTCACATTAGAAAAAAAAAAAATGATTTTTCGACTTTCTTAGCAAAAATAAATACTTTCAAATATTGTAAATATTTTTTTTTTTTAATTTATTATAGCTGCTTATAGTATTTACTAATAGAATTCATAAAAATAGTAATAAAGAAGAAGAATGATATGTAAGAAATAATACAAAAACAAAAAATAGTCGATTTTTTCATTGTCAAACAATTGTTTACACATTTGGCATAAGTAATAATTAAATTAATTTAAGGCATTGAAATGGCATATTTTTTTAATATTTAATTTAATTGGTATTAATAACTTCGTTTAGACGCTTTTTCATTGAATGAATAAGCTTTTTAAAATCATAATGGCTCAGCAACTGCTGCCACTCTTCCTTGGATGCCTTTTAGCCACATTTTCGATGTGATTGAGATCAGGACTTTGCGCAGGTGTATCGAAGACTTTACCGCAGTTATAAAGTAACCACAAGCGTATCATATGCGTCTTATGATTTGGGTCGTTGTCCTGATAAAATTTAAAATTCGGCATATTATTGTTTATAAACCCAAATTTATTGTATGTCTATTGCTGGGACAACAAATAAACACTTTTCCTTTTGAGCATAAGCATAAGGACTGTATTTAGTTATTAAAGTTTACAGCTCTAGCATCCTCATGTCAAATTTGCCAGCTGCTTATAGATTTCAAAAGTGTTCAAACAACATGAACTTCTTATTTTTACAATCAGTAGAAACTCTTGAAAATAAAAAATGTTTGCTTTCTATAAAAGGTCGCTTAGATTGTTGCCTTCTAAGCATAAACATGAGGATTTATACTTGCTTGCATCTTCATGTTACATTTGCCAACTGAAAGCCAGTAAGGCGGATATCGCAACACGTTCGTTAGAGGGGGGGCAACCTTCAGAACGAGAAATCAGTGCAAAAGCTAATTAAAGTGCAACTCAAGTGGTTGCAACCGGTGCGATTGATATCGATATCGGTATCGGGGCCGGTAGCTGTCTATGGGCATTATGTTTATCAGATGTGCATTCATTCGAATGCACTTCCTTTGGGCGCACTCAACGGCGACTTCCCGTTAGAGCTGCAACTGCAACTGCAACAGATACGCATCAGTTGCACAAACTAAATAAGTAAATAAATAAACGTTCACTCAAGCGGCCGTAGGAATTGCAATTGCAATTCGAAACGGAGCTGTGAACTGCTGCCCCAGCTGTCCCCACTGGTCCCCACTGTTCCCACTCCAATTAGCCAAGTGGGAAGACGGCCATAAGGAAGTGCACTTTAAGCGGCGCGACAGCTGCGCGGCTTATCCAATTGGATTGGCCTGGCGCGATAAGCGATAGACGATAAACGATAGACGATAGACGCTGCATAATTGAAATAAACAAAAGCAAACACAGTCAACAGGCACACAAATGATAATGTTCTTCTTGGCGATGATGATGATGATGATGATGATGATGATGATTATGTTGACGACGCCGGCGCCGACGTCGTTAGCGACGTTCAAGTGACGTTGAAATTGAATAAAAATAAAAATATGTATTCCACACAGTCAACGTCAACGCCAATTTCAACTAAAGTGCACGCAACAACAACAACAAAGGGGACCACGGCGACAATAGCGGCGACAACAACACCTCCAAAGTTGATTGATAAAAACTGTTCAGCTGAGTATAAAGTGCCAGCAAGAGCAGCAGAGAGCAAGCAAAGCGTAGCAAAGGAGAGCAGTGCAGAGAGATGCAAGCAACTGGCATATCGAGTTGCTTCTCTAATGTGACAGCTCAATGCAATTTAGTTGGCAATGACAACCAGCAATAACAGCAACAACAACAACAACAGGAACCGCAGCAACTCATTCTATTATGCACAGTGCCTGACAGCATTATTCATTCAGCTGTGCATTTAAGCATAAATGTACATTAATTATTTAAATTTGTAAGGAAGCGTTTGTTTCTAAGTAAGCTTCTGAAACAAATATAGTAAGTTCATTAGCGCTGATTTTTTAATTAGTCAAATGATAAATTGAATTTCCATTTTAATAATTCCCAGTCTTTGTTTTTGTTTAAGTTGTAATGTATTGCTTAAATACTTTTCCATCAACATTTGTCGCTCATTGTACAGCAGCATGCATATGCCAAGCACACATGCATACGCACACATGCATACACACACATGCATACACACGCGCATTCAAGTACTTGCATTTTAAGGCAACGAAAGGACGTAAAGATTGTGAAAAATCATAAAAATAATAAGGAACCAGAACTGACAAACTCAACGATATGGGTGTGTAGCGATTGCAACGGTAATGGAATCGGTCAGGAGAATCGCGGGGAATGAGGGAAACGGAAAAGGCAGGCAGCAAAACTGAAACTGTAACTGAAATGCTGCGCAAACAACTTTGAACGTCAATTTGTCAACTTGAAACGAAAATTGAATGTAAAGCTTTGCGCCACGACGCGCGTCGCTTACGTTGACAGCGACGCAAGCGTTGGCAGCGATGTCAGCGAAGGTAGCGGTAGCGCCTGTCGCAGTCAGAGCCAATTTCAGATTCAATTTTTGCTAGCGCGCTACGCGCTGCAGTCGAAGCATTTTCTCGTTGCTTTCTCTGAGCGGCTGTTGTTCATGTTGATGCGATGCGGTATTTCAATAGGGCACAGGAAGGGGATCGGGCTGAAAGTCAAGTCAAGTTAATGCCGTTATCGTAGGTGCGGCAAACATGACGCTGCCACAGTCGACGGTGGCAGAGGCGGAGACAGCGACAGCAGCAACGGCGCTTGATAATGAGCAGTTAAAGCAAGAAGCAGAAGCAGTCACGAAAGCTTCCGCAATGTTAAAATGCTGTGAGTATTAGAGGTGACATGAGCTAAAAAAGGGAGAGAGTAAGACAGAGAGAGAGAGAGAGCGGGTAAGCGAAGAAATGCATTGCGAAGTGCACAAGCTCTAACTCTGCTTATGCATTTGTATGCGTGTTTTTAAATTCGCCTTACGACAATAAAATTCGGCGAAATTAAAACCTGCACGTGTTGAGGACTTGCACATGAAGGGCAGAGAGAAAGAGAGAGAGAGAGAGAGAGAAGCTACGAAGAGAGGGAGAGCATTTCAATATCGCACATCGATCGAAGTTGTCAACTCAAAATGCAAAAACAAAACTGCCTACGTGAGCGACGTCGACGCTGCCGTTTTTTGTCAGCCAGCTTGCCCCCCTCCCCAGCTTGCCCCCCTCCCTCGACTAAGCTAACAACCCGCCCCTTGATTAACAAAAACAACCAAATTTGCCGTGAAATGCAATTCCTTTTTTGATTCTTTTTGCGATTCTGCTGACTCGCAAAATTTGTTACCGCGTTGTGAAGCTTTTTTTTTTTTTTGCAAATTTTGTTTTTGTTATTTTTGTCCAACAGCAGCGGCGGCAACGATAACAACTTCTCAACGACGGCAACAAAATTTACAGCTGTAGCCGCCGTAGCACAGTGGTACAAAGCGCACCGCACTTGGAACGAACATTAGGTTTTTGTGTAACATTTTCATCAAATTATAAGAAGCTTGTCAGCCACTGTCAAAGAGTGCTACTAAACACATAAGCTCAAGTATTCATACACACACACACACACACACACACACACACACACACACACAGCTAGACATGTGTGCATACGTACAATGTATGTTGTAGCCAAAATCTTAACGAGCACACGCGACTAGCATATCCAGCGTCATGGCCGCCACTTTGCTACACGAATAGCCAGCTAATTTTTTTTTGGCAGCCTTCGTCACATGCGCAGAAGCCGAGCAATCACAACAGGCCCACTGTGCAACGTGTTGCCGTTGACGGTAGCGACAACAGCAACAGCAACAGCAACAGCAGCAGCAGGCACCAGCGATCGCCGCACGGGCGAAACTGAACAGAAACGAGAAATGAGAATTACGATTTAGATGGCGCCGACATTGTTATACCCTAACTGACAACAATATGTAAATAATTTGATTTGCACATTTTTCAAGAGATTGTATAGAAAACAAAACAAAAACAAGTTGTAAATTGCTTTCGATTTCTAATATGCTTTGCGATAAGGTAAAGAGAAGAGAAAGCTGTTCTGATTCTAAGCTTTTGGCAAAGCTCATGATATAGCGGTAATGATCTGTGCTAAAGTGCTAAAACCACAACAACAAGATTGGAAGGTGTTTGTAGCGTAAGGGCGGGGGCGTGCGGCGAGCACAAAACCAAGTGACGAACTTACGGCCAACAGCAGCAGCGGCAGCAGCAGCAGCAACAACAACAACAACAACAGCAACAACAACAGCAACAACAGCAACTGGCCCGTTTGGAGCAGCGCGCATGCCACACACAGTTTAAATATGTGAAATTAGTACAAATCGTGATTTCAACAGCGAACGACCGACGACGAACGACGAAGCGGCGAAAACAACAACGAACGTGTCGGGGGATCGTAACGTCAACGTCGAGTGGCAACACCAGCCAGCAGGCAACAACAACGGCAGCAGCAGCAACGTCACGTCGCACGTATGTATTGCGGCAACAACAACATGCAATAAAACAGCTGATAGCAGCAACAAATAGAAAACCCAAAACAGTCAGCAGCAGCAGCAGCAGCAACAACAACAATAACAAAGCGTCGCATTATCAAGCGAGCAACCAACAGGTCTCCGGGCAGAGCAGCCGCAACAGCAGCAGCAGCAGCGACTCGTCGAGTGAGCGAAAAAAAGCCCCCGCGTGCCGCTGCAACCAGCACATACACACACTTGCGCGCAAGCTTGCCTGTACGTGTGCCTACACCAACACAAGCACAGCAAACACAGAGTCGCACACCTTTGCGTTGATTTTGGACGAAGCGACGTCGCACAGTGGTACACGCTGGCTAAAAAAAGCTGAGCCCACGTGGTAAACGATCCATTGATTGCAGTTTATTTTCTTTCAATTTATATTCCCCTTTTGCTTTGTTCAACCCCATTTTATATAAATACTAATTTGGTATTTATATAATACTGCTATTATATTTTACTTATTATGATAAAAATGATAACTAATTGATCAAAGAAAAATAATTATCTTGAATAGATTTGGCAAATTGTTTTTAAATTGCAGTTCCTAGTAATCATATTAACTATTAATTACGAATTACATATACATTGAAAAGAACACTTTCTTTTCATATTTACAGCTACAGTATTATAGAAAAAAAAAAAAAACAAAGAGTCAGAGGATTTTAGTGTCTTGCTTACATTTTATTGAAAAAGTTCTGCTCTATGCATATGAATTGTGGATTATTCAATCCAAAAGAATTTCATAATTTCAAGTTTGGTAAATTGCATTTCAATTCTGTACCACTGTGCATCGCTCAGTCGCGCGCTCTCTCGCACAAAGTGCAGCTGAGCTGCCGTTTGGTCGCCGCCGCCGCCACACTTGCCGCTGCCGTTACTGCTGCTGCTGCTGCCGCTGCCGCTACGCTTCCTCTGCCACACAACCGCTAGCCGCGGCCGCCGCCGCCTCAGTCGAAAGTCAAAAGCAACGTGTTGTGGACGCTTTTTTTTACGTCGCGTTGCGTTTTGCGTTGCGTTGCGTTTACCTTCTTTGCTACCTTCCTCTCTATCTCTCTCTCTCTCTCTCTCCGGCAGCCGCTTGCGCGCGCGCGCGTATCCATCCAGCCCAACCACAGCCGTACCAGCACCAACCACAGCCACAGCCACACCACCCACTGCACCGTTACAGTAGCAGCAGCAGCAGCACCACCACAACAAACGTCTCCTTAACAGTTAACTTTCTCCGCACGATGTCCAGCAGCGGCGCCAGCGCAGCGCAGTACAAACTCGACGCCAACTCCAATGCCATTGCATTGATTGCGGACGCCGCAGCGCTGCCGCCGTCGCCGTCGGCGCTGGCATCGCCCGCGGACCGCATCGAGTGGTCGCGCGCAACGATCTTGGGCTTCATCGAGGATTATCGACGCCAGCGCGTGCTGTGGGACCCCAACACCAAAGGCTACCACATCAAGCAGACCAAATACGAGGCCTTGAAGCTGCTCAGCCAAAAATATGGCACGGAAATACGCTCGATACGCTCCAAAATCAAATCGCTGCGCTCCTCCTTCCATCGCGAGCACGGCAAGGTGCTCAACGGACGCAGCCGCGGCGTTCACTATCAGCCCATGTGGTTTGCATATGAGGCCATACGATTTATTTTGGATGGTGAACGCGACGTTGACGCCGCCGTCTTGGATGCCGCCGTTGACGGCGACGTTGAGCCGGCTGCAGCGGCAGCGCTGCTGGACTCGGAAGCAGCTGATAAACTGGCGCTGATGCATAGCCTAGATCTAGAACAGCTGACAGCTGCTGGCAAGCAACAGGTTGAGCAGCAGCAGCACCAGCACCAGCACCAGCAGCATCACGAAGAGTTCGCTGCTCGCGTCGCTGCCGCTGTTGCTGCTGTGGCAGCCGCTGCAGCAGCGGCCAACGTCAGGGAACGGGAACACACTATGGACGCCGATGCAGCGGTCTCCGATGCCAATTCCAATGGCTGTGCGGCCAACAGCGGCGGCAGCGACGCAACAGCATCATCAGCAGCGGCCGCTGCAGCCGTCTCAGCTGCTGTGGTAAGCGTATATTGCCTATTGCCTATTGCCTATTTCTTATTGATTTTATTTTGTTGTGCATATTATTTCTCATTTCTTATGCTCTATACACTGCAACGCCGCAGGGTATATGCGGTCTGTAGATTTAGACATGTTGGTATGACATGCACGTGCACGTACACACATGCATACATACACACATACACACCTGAACCCATACTATTGCAGTATTTTCATAATCGTGCTAAATTAAAATCTATTTCGCTTAACATCTTATTACCAATTCAGTTAGCTAGAGTATTCAGCTATCGCGTATACTCAACTGCAGTATTCTGTTTTGTTTGTTGTTGTCGTTCCGGTAAAGCTTTTGCTTTTCGTGCCAGTGAGAATGAGTGTATGTGTGCATGTGTACTTGTGTGCTTGTATGCGTGAGTGGTTTGACTTGTTTTGCGGCAACAGCAGCAGCAGCACACGCGCCGACGCTGCTGGCTCGGTGTCTAGCGGTTCGTCAGCCAGCAACAGCAAAAACTGTGGCGCACAGTGGCACGAGCATTTTAGTGCCAAACAAAACACAATATGTATGCACTGCTACTTGCACAATTTCTTTGCACTCCTTTTGTTAAACAGTTCGCCTTGCCCTTGCACAGAAGAATTGCACACATCAAAAATATTGATTGGGTGGCAACACTGCACTCGCACTCAGCGCTGCAATTGCAGCGTTGCCATTTCGAGTTTGTTTCGTAACAAATGAATTAATCGATATATTATCAATTTATCGCTTCGGCACTTTGCAATAATTATTTGTCACTGTGCTGTGGCGCTGGCTGCTATTGCGTCGCATGCGCTTGATAAGCGTCGTGTGTTGTGCAAGTATGTGTGTCCTGTGCGCGCGTGTGTGTGTGTGTGTGTGTCAACTGGCTTTGATTTGCGCTACGTTAGCCATAGCAATAGCCATATGTGTGTTGCATCAGCCGTAGAAATCGGCAGCTACACGTTTTGCGCCGACCCTGCCCCTCAACGGCTGCCCCACCCCTCGCCCACCTGCGCTGGCAATGGACCCGCCTAAGCAGCAGCAGCAGCAGCAGCTTCAGCTTCAGCTGGTTGCTGCGCTGCGTTTTGCGTTTGTTTTTGTTTCGTTCGTTCGCTTCGCTTCGTCCGTCTATTCGTCTGCTTCTCTGCCTCTCTGTTTCGCTGGCCGCTCGTTGGTCCACTTCAATGTTGACTTCGCCGCGTCGCCACCCTCTGCCCCGCCGCCGTTAACTAATTTAATCGCCGCTGGCTCTGCCGCAGTCATCTGTATGCAAAGTGTGTCTGTGTCTGTGTCCGTGTCTGTGTCCGTGTCTGTGTCTGTTGCCCACATTTATTTATTTATTTTTTATTACTATTCTAATTTGTTTTTCTCTCTGCTTTATTTTTTGTTGCTTCGTCTTTGCCTATTATTATTTGGCTGTTGTTGTTGCTGTTGTTGTTGATTTTGTTATTATTATTTGTCTGGCAAATTCTTAACATTTGCCATGATTGTTGTTGTTGTTGCAGTTGTTGCTAATTTTTAACGATTTGTTTTCGCTCGCTCTTTCGCAGACGCGTTCCTCTTCCGACTTGGATGGCGAGAGCTATTGCAATATCAGCGCCGAGGATGTGAAAACAGAAATTGTGAGTACGACGTGCGACTACTTAAGTCTAGCACACGATTAATTCTAATACAATTGACCGAACTCGAATACCCTGTACGTACACAAACTATGGGGTATACACGTGGGTGTAGAGAGAGAAAAACAGTTTGTTTTGTCGTTAGTAAAAACATTTTATATAAAATGCTTTAAATTAAGAACAGGGTATATTTCTAAGGATGAGATGGGGATATATTTAGTAAATTGTGTGGAATCACTAAGACTTATCAATTAATGAAGTTGAAGAGTTAACTAACCGAAGTTCAATTCACTTACTTGCTTTCCCTTGCATCCCTTAATCTTTGGAACACAGATCGAGCACGAACCTGAGCTGGGCATGCTCGAGCGACAGACGAGCACGCCGCTCTCTGCGAGCTATTATAAGCCCACGGATCTGACATATAATCCGCGCAAGCGCAAGGCGCAGATGGATGAGCTGGATGGCGGCGGTGATCTCACTGGTGGCGTGGGCGGGGTTAGTATTGTCGGGGGCGTGGTCGGTGCGCTGACTTTGACGCCGATCAAGTCTACAACGCACTCGCAGCAGCAGCAGCAGCAGCAGCAGCAACAGCATCAGCAGATGAACCACAATCAGATCGCATTTCATACGCTCCAGCAACACTTTAGCCACAATCTCAGCCACAGCAGCCACAACGGCAATGGGCACCCACAGTCGCAGCAGCAGCAGCAACAACAGCAACAGCAACAACAAACACATTCCAATAACATGGCACAAAAACGTGATCGTGATCGTGATCGTGATCTCTCCCTCTCGCCAACAATGTCCAATCATCTAAGCACCAACAACCATCACTCGTCCACATCCTTGGAGCTGCACTCGCTGGCGACGACGACGACAACGGCGAGCAGCGGCATCTCAAGCAACGCTGCCACGCCCAAGATCAGCAACAACAACAATGGAACTGGGAGCAGCAATCTGAGTGCCAGCCATGTGGATGAGTACGGCGTGTTTGGTGAGTACGTGGCCATCACCATACGCAAGCTGAAGACATCCAAGTCGAAGATCGTGGTGAAGCACCTGATCAACAATCTGCTGTACGAGGCGGAGCTGGGCAAGTACGATCAGGGCATGCCGGCCTCCAAGGAGCCGCCGCAGCTCTACAAGATGCAATAGACGACGGGGCAGACCTGGAACTGGAACTGGGGCCCGACCGGGCAACCGGATCGAGAGCAGAAGAAGAAGAAACACGCACTAGTCAGCAACGCAAACAGAGCAACATGCAACATGCAACATGCAACATGCAACATGCAACAAGCAAGAAGCAACAAGAGCCAACAATTCTAAGGGTAGTTAGGGGCGGGTTTAGAAGCCAAGCGCATTTCATTCAGGGACAAAGACCATTTAAGTACTTTTATACAAATACATAAAATATAACATATAAATATATGTACATAAATACTATATAGACGCATATCAGCGATATCGCACAGATTAGTCAATCAAGAGTCAGCGAAACCCACGAGAATCCTTTCATATTATTTTACTTTATTTTGTTGCCAAGGGAAACGCATTAATTAAAATGAATTAAATAATACGTTTAATATTATTATATCCCTTCTTCTTTTTTTTTATTATGCAAACATTTTTTGAGTTTTATTTTTATTTGTTTACCTTATTTACATTTGGCAATAACACTTTGAACTCAGGTGCCTTTATTTCGTAGTCAATTAAGAGTTGTTATCTTATGCATTAATGAATCGATATGCATTAAATAAATGTATGTGTATATGTATATATACTAAGTGCCCATGTTGAATCAGCAACAAAAAACTGTAAACTTAATTCAATTTTGTTTTGGGAACATATCCAGATGTAAACGCTATAAATACTTACACATGTTTCCCACTTAAAGCGCGATGTACATAAAACAAAATATATATATATATATATATAAAAAAGAAAACAGAACATTTAAATATATTTAAGTATCTATTACAATTTTGTTACTGAAACTTATTTGAATTTGAGCAAGAGTTAACTAATAAAACTGTTGAATTATTTCATTTCGAAAATGATATCTCAATGCCTATAAGAAATGCAACCGATCCGATAAGTATGGGGCAAATCATCCGACTTCTCCAGCCTAAATCGAAAAATCATTTAAGATGTGCTCATGTACGACTTGAAGAAGGTTAAGATTCCGCCGTATGAGTCAATAGAACTGGGGCAGGGGGTTCGCACCTGGGCATATCTAGCGGGAGACCCGCAAGTTTCAACTGGTTTCTACTGCATTCTTCGGGAGCTCTACGTATCGAATCGCAGCTCTGTTTACTGCGCATTTATAATGCGATTATACGCAGCACTCGTGCCTAATTTGTGTTCTGGGTTCTGGGTTCTGGGGCACAATGGAGTTCGTTGTTTGGCTCGGGCCTCAGAATATGACATCGGAGCAATTGTTGCTTGTTTTGATCATAAATCAGAAAAGCTGTCGAGTGTAACGCAGAGCTACTTGGGCAGACTTGCCTGCAAAGCATTCAAAATTATTAATTGCAAAAACAAAACAATTGTGAATACATATTATATTCAGATAAATATTGAATAATGATCAAATATAGTTTGAACTGTGTTGGAAACAAACAAATCGCACTTAACCTTGAGGCTGGGGCACGTACACCCCTTGCCGAGCACGAAATCAAAGCAAATTAATTTTATACCCATTGATAAGAGCTAGAAATAAACGTCAGCTGATAAGAAATGTTGAATAGACTTGTCTATGCACTCTAGTCATATCTAGCTCAAGGCCGCATTGTTTGCAGGAGATCCCAATGAAGAGGTTCATTCGATTCAACACATGGAACTAGGCTCCAACAAATACTAGAACATGTTTGAGTACAGGGTAACTGCTAGTCGAGCCAACACAGCTAATTGAATTTCAATTAGAACCAGCCCACAGTTCTGTGCGGGTAATTGTAAACGATTAAACATAGTATCGATGCCTGCACACAAGTATCGAGTACATAGTATGCCCCTCACACAACTGACGTTGCGTCGAGTGCGCCAGTTCGTAGAATTTGTGGCGATTTTCTAGGAAACGAGCGCCAGAGCAACGTGCCTCGACATGTTGCTCCGATCATCAGCGGGTGGGTCTGCGGGCAGCGGAGTGGAGAAGTGGAGAATAGGAGAAGAGGAGCCGGGGGCAGTCGGCTGTAGAAATGACGCAATGTTTTTGAAAATCATCAACAGGCCCCAAGCAGCTGTCGTTTGTTTGGGGGCTTTTGTTTTGCTCGTCGCGTTTCGTTTTGGTTTCGCTTCGCGAAGCTGAAAGCAACATCAAATTGTATACATATAAAAACTAATGATAAATTCTACACACACACACACACACACACACACACACACACACACAAAGGGGCAGACTGCGAGGCTTTAACTTGAGCTCTGGGGCCCCCATGTCAACAATCAACAGTTTGCCATAAATTATTTTCGCAAACAGTTCGCGCCAACCGATGCGGCCCCAGGGAGCCAGCACACACACACACACACACACACACACACACACAAACGTTTGCAGTATTGTACAATAACAGTGTTGATAAGCGACCATATGCACACACACACAAATTCTATGTACATGCCCCTACGATTGTCACACAATCAAGCATTGAGCAAGTTCCCCACCCGCGCCCCACTCTACGCAGCTCTCGAGTTTGATAAAAAAAAAGTATATATATATGTATGTGGAGCTATATATCTGTACTATATAAGGCGGGGTAAATAAAACAGAGGCGTTAAGAACCCTGCTGGTGTCAGTTAGTATTGGGAAAGGTTGGAAAGTGTTGTAAATCAATTAGCCAAAAGCGTTTCACAACAACAACAACAATAACAATAACTAGAGGAAGAAGAAGATAGAGAAAAAACTAAGTCAAGAAACTGCGTCGCAGACGATGCTCAACAATGTTGTCCAAGTGCATTCTGAAAGGGCAGCACGAGTTGAGACTGCGAATGGAACTTGGCTCCGAAGGGGGAGGGGTATCCAGTCTGGTTGTCGTTGTCGTTGTTGTTGTTGTTGTTGTTGTTGCATTACCAATATGATTTATGGCTAAACAAAATGCACAAATGCTGTTACCAGCCATTACGATAGTCGTCTGCGATTGCTGGCTCGTAAATTACGAGCTACGAGGCGACTTCCCCCCCTCCCCCTTCCACGCTCAACAAAGTTCCGGATGTTGCAACAACAGCTAAGCGAGGCAGAAGGCGTTGCTGTTGCAGCTAATTTGTTGCTCCAAAGGGACAGCGGACAGGTAATGCAGCTGAACAAGTTGGCACAAGTTTAGTTCGCCTTAAAGTTCCTCGAGTTCTCTCCAGCAGGTTTAATGGAAAGCCAAGGAGGAACCCAATAATACGACTACCCTCAATTATTTATCATAATTAATAAACTATATAGATTCATCAAAAGCAATAACTATAGGACTAAGGACAAATAACTGGAGGATAAGTTAGACCAACATATAATTACTAGAATTCTCATCGATGAAAAACTCTATTCCAATACAGGAACATGAAAATTAGTAGCAGAAACATAAATCAATTAAACAAAAGTATTCAGCAATATCCGATATCGAAAAGGAAATTATTTTTTATATTTTTGTAGGAACGACAAATAGGAACCACTCCGAACAAAAGATCTAGTTCCATAAGCAGCTCAGAATCCGACTCAGAGTTTCTCAGTGCTTCCCAGAGTTCCTAGATTTATTTAAGCATTTCGCTTAAACAAAACCCACAATCTCTTAATATTGATAAAAGTCTTTAAATTTTACAAATACTTTAAGCTGGCGACCGCTTCAGATTTTGGTTTTCAAACTGAGAGACAAGTTTTGACGCTTTTTGCCGTTTAGCTATTCATATTTTTATATTTTTTATTTATTTACTTATTTTTTGCCAGCTGTCTTATAAGCCGACATAATAGCTTTAAAATTATAAGAAATAATTAAAGGCCCATTAAATTCATGAGACTAATAATGGCAGAAGCCGAACAATAGCACAGCATTCAAATCAAATTGCCCAGAAAATAAAACTGAAAAACAAAAGAGAACCAACCAAAAATAAAAAAAATAAATAAAAAAAAATGGGAGAAGTAAAAAATAAAAATCATTAAATGCACGAAATGGCAGAGAAATGTGCCAGGGCCATTAAGAATTACGGCCATATACTGGCCCAAAGAAGAAGAAGCAGCAGGCGAAATAAACAAAACAAACAAAAAGAGCCCAAAAGAACTCGACAACTGGAGAGCTGGAAGTCTGAAAGGCTGGAGAGTAATTATAAGCCGAAGATCACGTATTCGCATTTTGCAAATTTGAATGCCATAATAGAAGGACGATTTATGCCCAGAGACAGATGCAGACCCACAAAAATCAAATATAAAGACCAAAAATATTTGCTGTATGGCTGCGCAAAAATAAATTTCAGCTCATATATACCCTATGTTTGTAAAAGTGTTTGATAACAGGGCATGATGAAGCAAGAGATATTAGCTACTATTTGCAGCAGTCTATGCAGAAAATATGCCCATCTATCCGTCTAACTATCTACTATCCAAGTGAACTCTGTTCCCTGTGAAGCTATTCAGATGAAACTTGGTATGAATGTTTCCTTTGAATGTGAAAACAGGTTTTCCTAAAGTCGAGTCTATCCCCTATACCGGACATCTATCCGTCAAACTATCTACTATCCAAATTAACTCTGTTCCCTGTGAAGCTATTCAGATGAAACTTGGTATGAATGTTTCCTTTGAATGTAGAAACAGGTTTTCCTAAAGTCGAGTCTATCCCTTATGCCGGCCGAGTCTATCCGTCTATCTACTATCTATGTGAACTCTGCTTCGTGTAAAACTATTCAGATAAAACTTGGTACAGATGTTGCCTTATTAACAAAACATAGCTTATCCGAAAGCTGACTGGATGATTCGAGTATATAGCCATTAGAAACCGAGTGACAATTAATATACTTCAATCGAGGGTATTTCTTGTGCAGCATTCAACTGTTTCGTCGTCTATGTCCTAGCCCTGACAACGCTCGCAAATGTTAAACATTTTGCCAGACGACGAGCACTCGAAAGCCTCCTCCAGTAATTGGCTCACATTACACAAATTCAGAGCCGAATCCAACTGCGACTGCAAACCGCAGACCCGTCCACAGTTTTAGCGTCGTCAGCCCCAGCTTCAGCTTCAGCTCCAGCTCCAGCTTCGGTTTCCACTCAAACTCCGCCGGTTCCCACTCCTTAACCCGGACATGAGCCCGGCTCGACTGGCGTTATTGTCGTGGCACAATATTGTTTCCAAAAATGAAACGAAACAAAACAAATACGTGACCAGAAATTAAAAAAAAAAAAAAAACAGAAGAGCAGCAACAAAACAACAACTAAAAATATAAATAAAAATAAAAGGCAAAAACTGCGCCAGCTCTGAAAACTGTGCAAAATAATATAAGGAAACAACAAAAATCGCGTTGATTTGAATTTTAAAATGTTTTCATGGCATTTGTTTTGCACCGCGCACAGTGGAACAAAATAGCCCAAATGAGCGTTAAAAAGCCGAAGGCTAAACACGAAGTTGGCTAGAAATAATTAACTTGTTAGTATATACAACAAATAAAATCTTCAATAAATGTTGCTGAATTTCAGACAAAGAGTAATATTTTAATATAAATACCCATTAAAAATAAAGGATTTTTAATGGGCGTATACGTAATTTTTCAGAGAAATAACAGCAATCTGTAAGCAAATATATATTATTAATAAAAAAGTTGACTTATTAATACGCTCTTTTATTTTTTTTGAAAACAACGAACAATTATTTTTTATTTGGCGTATGCGTCGTATGCGTAATAATTTTTTAAATTTAAAATCCAACTATTTAATAATATATTATTGGCATTTATCTGTTATTAAAAGAAAAATTGCTCATCATTTCAGTCTGGGTGTGAAGAATCCTAGTTAACAAGCATAAAATAAGAACTATAAAAAAAGTGAAAAAATCTTATAAATGGGCGTATGCGTAATATTTCACAGAATTTACACTTAAGGCAATCGGATAAAGTTTATTAATAGAAAAGTTAAAAATAGCTCGTAATTTTATCCTTATTTGGAAACTTTTCTATCATTGAAAAAAGTGATAAAGATTTTGAATGGGCGTACGTGTCGTATGCGTAACGATGCATTTCATTTCAAATTCATCTTGCCAAATGTAGTTTATTAATAATGAAAAGTAAGAATGGCTCGTAGTTCTGTCCTTATTTAAAAACTTTACTACTCATTGTAAATTACATTAAATTTAAAGGGCACATTACAAATTGTTTAATGCCTACGCTGCGTATGTGTGATAATTGTGACGTATCCAGGCACACATATCTTTTATCTGAGAATTTGATTCTATACTTTCTCAACGGGGAAGCGAGGCATACATAGCCTTAACAGTTCGATTGGCAACAACTTCTGTGACCTCACGTAGCAGCTGATAAATCATAAACATCTCAGGGCAATGCCAAGGCCATTAGAGACTGCAAACTTTCTAAGCACACACAGAGGACGCAAAGGACACACACACTCGGGGGCATGCGAATACATTTTATGCGGCATTCATGAGCCGGTTCCACTGTCCTCCACTTGGCTGCTATCAACAAAAACTTTTACACTGCCATTTGCTGTCATTGTTGCTGCCGCTGCTGCTGCTGCTATTTTCGGTTGCGACCATTACATTTCACCAGCAGCAGCAGCAGAGGCAGAGGCAGAGGCAGCAGCAGCGGCAGCAGCTCCAGTTGGAGGCCCCAACTCTCCGCTGCTCCCGCAGCCGCAACAAAGTTGCAGCGGCAACAACAGACGTTGCCTCATGTAAATTGTAGAAAATAAAAATATAATAAAAATAAAGGAAAAGGCAAAGAGAAAAAGTGAACAACATTTTGATAATGAAACTTTTCAACGCAATAAATAATAACAAGCGGGGCGGGCGGGGCGAGGTGCTGCGCGTCGCGGTTAAACTTAACGCCATGTCAAATATTGATTTCGCGTTGAATTTTTGATTATTTCTATAAATACAAAACGTGTCCGCAAACAAAACCCAGCCGGGCAAGGGAAACGGAACGGCAAAGCCTCTGTCTGTTTGGCACTTGGGGCTGGATAGTTTCACTCTCACAGTCGCAGTCGCAGTCGCAGTGGCAGCTCCCAGCCCCTGCTCGGTCGAGGGTTCACACCCCAGCAGCCGGCGGCACGCGTGCGACGCTGATAAAGCCCCTTATTGCCGTCTAGGTCAAGTTTCATAATGTTGGCAGTCGCGGCAATCTGAATAAATGGGCTCTGTACCCTATAAAAGGGCACCCGGAAACTCAACTAAGTACTTGATAGCTCGAAACTAGTTTAATTTTAATTGCAACAGCTTCTTGAAAACCTTAACATGCACTTACAATGAGCTCCTCATGTTAAATTTTGGCCACTAACATGAAATGTGCTTCAAAACACAAAAAATTATGTTTATAGTCAAGGGAAGTGTGTGGGCAACATTTTTTGCTTGTAACATCCTCCCTAATTTTCAACAAGTAGTTACAATGAGCTCCGCATTGCACGCATCTTGTCACGAAGATAAAATAAGCTTTTTTTTATCGATGAAAAGACAAAAATTCCAATTCAAGGTAGTTTTTGGATTACTTAAGGATTTTTTATTGAAAACAGTTTTAAAGCTTGACAAGCACTTACCATGAGCTTCTCATGTTAAAAATGTATTGATAAAATGACAATGCCTACAATTAAAGATGATTGTTGTTCTATTGTTTTTTTTATTTTAAGAGATTTTGTACTCCTCACGAAGCACCTGCAATGGTTCCTCATGTTAACTTTTTTGCTACTAAGATAAATTTTACTGTAATTTATCGATACAAAGACAAAGCTCAAGGGCGGGTTATGGGAACACCCATAAAGGGAAGCTATTTAGTAATTATGAAGAAACAATAATTCATTTTAGAGGGTATCTGCGAATCGCCTACTCTCGGGTGGCGCAGTGAACTTGTTTTCTTTATGATTTTATTTATTTTGGCGCTCTTGTTTTCGCATATGGGCATAAAACTGAAAAATAAACAGACATAAAACGACATACAACCAAAATTGCTATGCAAATACAGAATATTAACAGAGCGCCCCGCAGCAGCCCGCGCGCGGCCCCCGCTTAAACAACACACCTGGAGCAGCGACAAAATGTCGTCTAGCTATGGGTTCTACTTGCTTATATGTAGACACTAAAGGTGTGGCCGTTGCTATCGTCTCGCCAAGGCGCAATAAAAAAAATATATTCAAATATTCAAAGGCGAGACCCGAAACTGCATGAAATAATAAAGAAATATAACTGAAAATGCGTCCTTCCACAAATACAGTGGAAATGGAAACATTAAATAAATAACATCCTTATGTACTTGAAATCTGTTATACTTAACAGTGCTCTGTTAAGTTACATAAAATGCATATGCAACATGCTATGTTAATGTCAAACAGCCAACACGTCGCATGTGTAATAAATACAACTTTTCTAATATTTAACTGATAAACAAATAACAACAGCATTAGCTTGCTCTGTTAAGTGGCTGTTAAAAGCGTTCTCTTGATATTCGAAGATACATGTGCACCTTTGTTATCATGTAAAGAATATATATAAAATAAATATTGCATTTAAGATGTATATGTGCTTGTGCTGAGCATTATTATGCCAAAAAAGTGGAGAGTGTTGTTCTAGTGTAACGTTTAATCGGTTCATGATATGCACTTTTTGCCCAGTCGAGGGCACTTTTGAACTCGCCAAAGTTGTGTCTCAATCATAAATACAATGATATTGCATTATTCCATTTCAGCAGAATAATTTGCTCGGAATTATCGATGGAATTACTTGCATGACTTGGCAAGCTGATGTACAATCATAATAAGACCCATTATGGGAGCAGAGATAAAGAAATTCGCGCCTGAGCCGGCGCTTAATTTCTTTATATTTATAGAACATTTTCACATTATTCCTACAAACGCAACTGGGCTAGCTAGAAAACCAGTTCTAATGCACACTTTTGCATAGGATTCGGTCATAAATAGCCGCTGAGATAGTCGCAATATTCACAACTAAATCGAGACAACTCGCACGACAACTCATAAATATTCAACTTTAGTTATGGTGTCTGCTGAATATTTTGATAC